GATAAGAATGGGCACATAGTGGAGAAATGATATTGGTTGGATAGGAGTCCGATTATGGTTTTGAGGCATCTCAAGTTCGGTAGTTCTTTGAACGGGTTAACTCGAATTTCGCCAAAATCATTGCCATGGGTAAAAAGAAGGAGAAATAATTGAAACAGGGCGAATCGGAATGTTTATACTAGTTTCTCGGAAGGTAAATGGTGTATTGTATTCTTTTAAAGTATGCAACAGGTAGAAGGAATATTCTTACTGGCTCAGTCGATCTAGCCTTGTCAGTCCTCCTGTCGAAGTGGTTCATAAAGGATTCATGTGCTTAATAAAACAAAACTGTAAAATAAATAATAAAATATTTTTAATTTGATATTGGAATTTGACTCGATTTAACTTGAAACACCTTCTCGTTCTGGCTTATATTTAATAACATATCTTGGTAATTTCCTTTTAGGATTACTTATTTTTCCATCACAAAATTATAGTTAACTTGAAGATAACTCTAAAACCTAGACCCCTGTACTGCCATTTCCCTGAAAGCTTAAGAGTAATTACCCTGGTGGAAAATTCCAACGGCAGGCATTTGGTATTTTGCGTGGGTTAAAAGGTAAAAATCATTATCAGTAATTAGCATTTTTCAGGATCAATTCATAAAAAAATCATTTTAATGAACAAATTATGGCTTTTATATCTCTTTGTTTTCAAGGAATTTATCGAAAAAGTGAGATTGGATTGGTAAGGGCCTCGACTGAGATTGTTCCTTCATTTCCGGTGACATAATGAGGTAAATTTCCTTCATAACTTCCTACTTTATGTTTTGATTTCCATTATAATTGGTATGCCATTACCTACTAACAAATTAGATGAATTCTGATTTAGTAAAAGTAATGGTTCAATTAATCCGTCTTAATACAGATTAAGACTATATATACACTATCAAGAGTATTGAACATATTCTCCTACGTGATGCTTACTTCTTTAACAAGTCCAATACAGTGTAGAATTTTACTGTAATGAGGTCATTAGTTTAAATCGATGTGAACTATTTAAAAACAACAAACTAAAGTTATATTTTTAATAATACCAGAACCAAGTGTGGAAGGGTTTTGCTTTAAATTAGATAAGAAATAGAATATTATTCATTGTTTGTTTAAAAAGGGCATCAGGAGGAATTAGTGTAAAGTATTTCCTGACTGTATGTCCACTGCAAATTGCCACCTCTATATGGACAGCATTCAGTGACTACGTAAAAGTAGATACGTAGGTGCCCGCGGGATATGCATTGGTAAACTTTTTGGCTTTCAAACACCCACAGCAATCGAACGCTTCGTTGTGTCTTTTTACGCTGCTTGTATTTGGGAACCGTTTGCAAAACTTTCGTCATGCTCATAAAATTGCTCGTTTAACTCATTTAACTTTTTGTGTTGGCTTTCGGGCTTTGAATGTGGGCGAGAGAGTGTTTTTTTTAGAAAGTTTGCATAAATTGCAGCAACAAGAAAAGTTAATAATGCCAGCAGGCAGGTCGAGCTGGGGTGACAATGAAAATAATTCAATTAAAACACTTTTGCCAGCTTTGGGTCCTCCGCCATCCACCCCTTAACCTCCAAAACTCCAACCCTTCCTGGCATGCATGTCAAGTTACAATTACGCCGAACCAAATTAACACGTAGACGGGGTGGAAGGCGGGAGGGGATGTGTGTGGATTGCCCGCGAGGCATTCTCTGCATAAACTTCCCACTACTGGGCGGTCCTTCTGCGGGCAGGATCCGTTTGCAATCCCCCTGCTCCTCCACCGCTTCTGGTCCTTTGAGCCAGTGCGACATCTATGCCATGTTTACTTTGCTACTTAGACTCATTGTTGTTGCTTAAAGCCGCAAAGCGGCATCGCTTTCAGGGAATTTAAATGTTCGGCCTGGCCAAGTCCCACAAACACTCGAAACCGCTACTACCCACTGCCCATGTGAGTGTTAAGTGTATTTTTTTAAGATTTGATTGGCTCGCCCAGGGATTAGGTTTCCGTGTCATGCTGATTTCGGATGGGCCAGTTCCTGCTGCTGGATCCGATCCAGTTTCATTTTCTGTTTTCTTTAATAACCCTTTGTCCTGTTTAGTCTTTTTAATTTAATTAACAATTAACGGATTTATCATAATCTAACTGATAAATGATTCTTCGTACAAGGACAGCTTTTAGCTTAAATACAAAAATAAAGCTTGAGAAAGGTTGGAAAGAATTTTAGTCTCGGTTTCTATTATGGTGAAATGTACTCTGATATATTTTGAACTTAAGAATTTTTGTCTTCCCTTTGATTTTAATAAATAACTTTTAGCCTTATAGAGGAGATATTTTGTCATTGAGATCAACTTCCACAATGGAGATCACATATAATAAAGCTTATGTAAGCCCTAATTGTTAGTATTTAGATTTAATTCCCAAGGGCATCTAAATCCAAAATCGAGTTTAATTGGGTCTCACTCCAATTGGTCGGCAATAACATTCCATTTTATGTCACTTAACCCTTTTATGCCGTAGTCGTGGTTTGTGATTTTGCAGTCATTTGGGTCCATAAAAATTGCTTTTCCATAATACTGAACGGGCCATATTAAAGGGCGTGAGAGCGGTAAAAAACACGAATTGATAGCGCACCGAGCTCATGCTCGTTAAAAATCAATCCCCCAGTGGGGGCATGTGGCAGGCCCAGCAAAGGTGTAGCTGTCTGCCCCATCACCCCACAAACCCATTGGTCAATATGCGCGACTATAAGTCTACATAAGCGCCGAAGCTGCCGTCATGCTGGGGATATCTTTTGGTATCTATGTATATTGTCTCTCTCTGTTGGGATTTCAGGCTTCGGGCTTCCAGGGTGTGCATATGTGTGTGTGTGTATCTGAATATATGGGAATTTGTTTTGTCATATTGCTGCACCCCTCATCCTTCTTTCACTATGTTCCCTACAGTTCAAGGCGGTACTTAAGTAACCGCCTAAAATCTTATGCTAATATTAAATTTTGGAAAGTGAGGGAACTATAAAAAGGGCAGTGCGGCGCCAAGTGAGATATAGGCTGTGGAAGACTTCCAACTTATATATGCAGGGCATACACAGGTCGCATATCAGCTGGACATTGTAAATTTTTTCAGTAATTCTGCATGGGAATCACCACAAACTGAGGCGCAATGAAGCGCAACATCCACGCGACGTTTCCAATCTACGCGGCATCTGTACAGCTGTATAGCTCTGACCATGTCCAGCGCTGTGACCGTGGCCATGACTCTAGCCCCCAAAAATGTGTCCAATGTAACGCCACAACAAAGAACGTTAATTGACGCCAAAATGCTTCTGGATAAAAAAGGCAAAAACTCCGATCGAAACTGAAAAGAGGCAAATCGCCAGCGAGGCGGAGCATCTGAAAAAAAACAAATTGTTCAGTCGGGCACAATTTGTGGCAGGACAGCAGTCCTGTGTCTTGGCGGAGTTTGGTTGGGTGAATTTAAATGTTTCTCTGCTCGACCCATCCCGAGTCCCCACCGAATTCGATCCCATCCGACCTGAGCCGCCCCAAACCAGGGGTTCAAGTGGCCGTATTAACCCTTGAGAGGTCACTTGGGTCCCGTCCTCTATTCATGGATAGCCCACTCCGACCTCCTCACTGAGTGGGCGTTGTTGAATCAGCACACGTGATTAATGGCCTTTAATTATGTCAAAGCGCGACGGAAGCCTCCGACCAGGCCCCGAGTGCAACGGTGCGCCGGTTAAACGCTTGACATTAAAAAATTGACACCGTTCGGGGTGAAATGTCGGCAACGTTTTGGCCTTCCTTCTCCTACCTCCCCATGGGCAACCCAATCCTGACCGATGTTTTTGCCTGTGACAACTGTCTGGCACACGTAACCGAGTTCCCTGCGAGTCTTTTGGGTCTGCCCCGTAACAAATTTAAAATACACATCCACACCCACACCCACACTCACACCCGCAGCCAGAAGCAACTCCTTTGGCCATTCGTTACCAAGCCGTGATTGTGTGTGGGCGTTTGTCTCGCTTGTCGCTTTTAATGAAAGCGTCATAAATTATGTCGCAGTTGACGAAAGCAACAGAGAAGCTCCCGTCTTCGTTCAGGTTGCGGGGTCACTTAGCATACTGCATGTGTACGGGTATGTCCATGCGAGCAACACATGTGAAGGACTTGATGAACTGCTGAAATGGCAGAGGATACCAAACGCTTTAAGTATGCATCGGACAGAGAGGCCGAGACCAGGACTAATTTTACCTATAAGGTTAATAGGAATAAGAAACGATAAAAGTTACTATGAGGTATATATATGTATACAAAATACTAAATGAATATTAGAAACATTTGTTTCTAATAAAAATAGCATTTAAAACTCCCAAAAATGGTTTAAAATCAGCCCAAATAGAGGCGAAAGAAAATGGACCAAAGTTTATTCTAAATTGCTTCAGGGAAACTGTTCCAAATTCTTTTTAAGGTGCATAATTAAAAATGTTTACAAGGCTATAGTTCTCCATCGACTTCGTTTATCTATTATAAATACTCAAACCCATTTTAAATACATCGCATCGGTCAAACTGTGTAACCCCAAGGACGACGTTCTTTTCAGTTGCACCTATGTCAGAGCCTTGTTGGGACTATTTCCGAGACTAACACATATAGATATTCTTGATCAGCTTTTCTTAATATTTAAATTCCATTCGAATTACTAATAATTACGTTTTTAAACTTATAAAAAAAATTATTTTTTAAAGGTGCAACAGTCACGTCTTTTCGACCTCATCAAAAGGTTTTTCTTTGGCCATTACTGGTCATATATTATAGAATGAATGTGAAAAGTACACGACGGGACTTAAAAGTAAATATTGGCCAGTTGTTAGGCCATCTAGTCTGGGAACCTATAACCACTTAGCCCGTTCATACTCTTATTTGCTTATGCACATAAGTCGATTTCAGAGACCATTTTCTTCAACCAACCAAAACGGCTATCTAAAATATGTTTCATATTTCTTTTTAACTAGAATTTACTTGACACAAAAAATCAACTTAGAATAGCACATACACTAGGTAGCTTATGTATATTGTAAAGAACAGTATATAGAGGTTGGTTTTCCCATCGGCTTTCAGCACCTGCCACACGTTATACTCCGTCCACTCCGATTTCGAAATGGTTTCATTAAAATCTTCCACATTTTGAGTCCTATCGGTCTTCAGGGCAACCTTTCTAGGTCTGGTAATCTGCAGCACCCGCTGAGTTGTTCGATGCTCTACGCCCGGTGACTTGATCGCCGGAAGGTGAGTGCTGCGAAGGCGATAGGGCGGACTTGTGGTGGCTAGGGAGACGAAGGTGCCTCTCTCAGAGATCAGAAGACCGAGCAGAATGATCCAGGCCAAAGACATGCCCAGCCTCGGATGTTGTTGGTTGCCAGCAGTCTGAGATCAACGGGAGAATGCTCTCTGCGGGATCGACGCTGCGCGTTATTATCGAAACAGTTAGTGAATGGCGGTTCTGTTTTCTGTTTGCACACCTCACAGGTGTTTTTCGAGATACGCTCGAACAGCTAACAGTTCTTTGGGAGCTCATATCTAAGCCATGCCTTGACCTTCCGAACTCTCGCATTCATTTCCCATTCAGTTTTCGATTACATGTGCCAGACGGCTGAGTCAAGGAAGGAGGTTTCAAATCCGAAAAATAGAAAAACTGGCCTCCTCGTTACTTTCAGCTGAACTTATATTGAAGCCAAAAAAGAGAACGGCCGCTTCCATCCTCTGCTTTTTGATAAATCAAATAATTACAAAAGTCGAGAGCAAGACTTCCCTTTGGTATTGCCGCAGCACAAAAACAGAACTTCAAAAAAAGTTTTGCCAAAAGGTGAGGCAGGCGAAAGTTTTGCCAACGAGCAAGAATTACATTTAGGCGCATTTAGGAGGCAGCTAGGTAAAAGGACGAGATCACAAGATCCGTGGCGACAGCTAGATAGACGAAATGCGTTCCGAGATTCTTAAAGCTGTTCCAGTCGCTTGAAGCATAAAATCATATTTGGCCACAAATTTAATGCAACCTCAGCGTCGGCGGCAAAACTTTTTTGCCAGCTCTGCAGGCCAAAACTTTCGCCTCGGTCGATGTAGAAAACGGCTTTCTGTCTGTCTCCCGTCCTACTGGATGCCCCGACATCCTTTGTACCAATTCGAGTTGCAGAACTCCAGCGAGGCGTGTGCAATGCGCCACAGCTTGGGTAGGCCTTCGAGCAGGCGCCGCTTTGATGAATTTGTTCATAAACGGGGCCACGCCGAGGATGCCGGGATGACAATGCCGAACATTTTAATTTCGTTCCATCTTTGGCATGGACAGAAAAAAATGCCTTCAAAGTGTTGGTAGCTTCAAATAGTAAATATTTATTTAATTATCTTATTTTGGAAAGTGTTAAATTGGGATTACAACTTCTACATTGTTATATATTATGCGAAATAAGGTATATAGTTAAGATAATAAAGAATATTATCTTTTTTTTGTCTTATCCTCGAAGCTGATTGATTAGGCGGCGCTGCCTCGCCAGGAGCTTCTTCATCTTGCGTTGCCTTTTCTCCTGGCGCTGCTTCCTCTCCTGGCGACGACGGCGCTCTCGGGCTAGTCGACGGCGGCGCTCCCTCCTGCGCCTCTTGGCCGCTGCCGACGAAGAGGACGACGATGAGGAGGTTGTCGTAGTTGTGGAGGAGGCGGTAGTGGTGGTAGTGGCAGACGAATCAGTGGTGGTGGTTGCAGAGGAGTCGGTGGTGGTTGTAGTCGAGTTCGAGGCCTGGCCCAGGTGGAGGCACAATAGCACGCCGAAGACAAGAGCGAATAGGAAACGCATTGTGATGTGTCTGATCTGGAACTTTGGGCTGGCTTATATACCAAATCTGGGGCAGAAATGAACTACGATGTAATCAATAAATATCTGGTTAGTGATCGACAGTCTGAAATGTTTGCACAGCTTCTCGTTTTCGACACTGGCTGCAGCATGATCTCAAATACTGTTGGGCCTTTAAGGTCGGGTGGGTTGAATGGAGGTCGACTTTTGTCAGAATGGGAGATTTTTCCCATATGGCAAACAGGTATTGGAATGTCTAAAAATTCCAATCTGTCTGCCCGCTTTGCCAGGATTAAAGCCGGACCATTTACTCTTCCATACTATCCGATAGGATACCCATCTTATAACACCACTGGGACTTCAGTCAAATCAAGATGCGCTTCTGTCTTTTTACCTCTGCTCTGACCTTGAGAAAATACTGGTTAAAGGGAATATTCAATTTTGGAAAAATGACACAGGGAGAAGCCATAAGCTTACCCTTTTCTAGTATAATGAGTAGTAGTATAATGAGTATAATGTATTCCTTGAAGAGTATGTAACTAGAGAGAAGTGTCTTTTGATATATATTTTGATATATATTTGATATGATCAGGATCAATAGCCGAGCCTATTAAGCCTTGTTCGTCAGTTGTCCGTCTGTCCATCCGCCTGAATTAACTATAAGATTTAAGGTACTATGAGAGATAAACAGATGGGATTAAGGATATAGAGTCTTGGGGTTTCTAGGCAGCTCAAGTTTCTTTCTGCATCTGGTCACCTAGAGTCGGGATGCTAAGAATGTTGGGAATGTGCGTACATATTCTAGAGATGCTAGCAAACCTCACGAATGATTCATCATTAGGCCACGCCCACTGACCTTTCTAATATGTTTAATGCTCCTCACGGACAGTGACGTAACTGGCAGTTAATAAACATGCCTTATATGATTCTGGCAATAAATGGCTGCAGTAAAATTGTTCAAGACGTCAATTTCTAACTTTATACTTGTATTTTTTTATTTAAGCTTGGCTAATCATGGACGTATTCAAAAAGTGATCTTTGCGACCATCAACAAAATATTTAATCGAACCAAGTAGTCAGCATTTTTCTTATTTTCAATTGCATTATTTGGCATCTAGGAAAGGCTTCCCAAGCTATCTTCATCCACGCAGCTTCTTGATCTCCTTGCGCTGGCTCTGCAGGCGATTGCGCAGCCTCTCAGTCTGGCGCTGCCTTCTGCGCTCCCGGCGCTGGCGCTCCCTGGCCAGTCGGCGGCGCCGTTCACGCCTTCGCCTCTTGGCTGCCTTCGAGGAAGACGACGATGAAGACGATGAGGAGGATGATGTGGTCGTGGTGGTGTCGGAGGAGGCGGTGGTGGTGGTGGTGGTGGTATCGGACGACTCAGTGGTGGTAGTGGTGGTAGTGCTTGAGCTCGAGGCCGAGGCCGAGGTTGTGCCACTGCCCTCCTGGACGAACAGGAGGCAGACGAGGACGGCGAGGACAAGTACGAACGAGAATCGCATGTTGAGTGTGTATGGGCTGCCAGATTAAAAGCGCTTTTATAGGTAGATATCCGTCAGGTTCTTGTATCTAACTTACTTGTATCTTACACTTTGCTTTCATCTATGTTTGCTCAGCTTTACACTTTATGTTGTTTTATTTTCATGGCCAAATATTATTTATTATTCTTTTTTAAACTTATTGTGTGTTCCACATACAAAAAACAATTAAAAGTTCGTCATACTTTTGTCTAAATATTTGTTGAGTTTAAATTAGATATTAAAAATAATTTTCTAAAATTCCATGACGTATTTATAAGTACGTAAGTATGTAAGTTTCGAGAAGCATTTAAGTTGTAATAATGCCCAAATAACTTTTTCAATCTTTCAGTTCCCTATATACCAATCTGACATGGCATACTAGGATAGTAATCACTCAAGAACAGAGTTTCTTCTTTTCTTCTTTTCTTCTTTTATTTTTAAATGAAAAAAATGTAATAATATAAATACATAAATATAATATATAAATGTAAGCCATAGGCTGGATCTTTGAATTATTATATGATCCACATACATTAATCAGAGTTCAGCGATTTTTGCTTTAAATTCTCTATTACATAATAAAAGCAATTAACGCAATAATAATAACACTTATTAATATAACCGTTATTCAAATTTAATACAACGAATAAATTTAACTGGGCTAGTTCCAAACGAGATGAAGAAGTTTTAAGATGCTTCTTAAGCTAAAATGAATTTGTATAATAATTAAAAATTAAAAAGGATTAAAACCCCAGGGAGTGTCATTTTTAAATAAAAGTACGGAGTGTACGAATTATCGCATTTTTATCATTAATATATTTTTTTTAAATCTCTATATTAGTTTTAGATATTTTGTTAAATGTTCGTGTCTATATGGCTGACTGCTTTATTTCAATTCTTAATTAAGCTTAAATTAATCCTGAACATGAATCTGTCATTTTTTATAACATTCTCCCTTGATTTAAGAGTAGGTAAGTTGAACAGTCGAGTTAAGTTCACTGATAAATTTTAGGCATAGCTGTCTGGATTGGGTTTACATTTTTTTTCCAGTTTTTAACAAAAATGTAAATGAAATGTTATTTTCAAATGTTCTTTATTTTTAGGAATAAAATATTGATAAAAAAAAAGATTCGAATTTCTTTGGTGTGGCAAGGCTCCTGGGCTCGAACAGGAATCTATCCCCGGCGGTTCTGGCGCCGTCTTTGCTGGCGCCTCTTACGTTGTTGCTGGCGACGACGCCTTTGGCGCTGTTGACGCTTGCGACGCTGACGAGCCAGGCGACGCCGGCGAGCGGCCGCCTTCCGACGCTTAGCAGCCGCGCTTGAGGACGAGGACGAGGTTGTGGTCGTGGCAGCCGTGGTCGTAGTGGTGGTGTCGCTTGAAGAAGAGGACGCCTCGGTCGTATCAGAAGACGAAGACGACGACGCGGTGGTGGATGTGTCTGAAGTGCTTGAAGTGGAGCTCTCGGTGCTCGAGGAAGTATCCCCGTAGCTCTGCTGGGCAAGCAGAAGGCAGCCGAGGACGGCGAAGAGCAAAACGAATGTGTAGCGCATTCTGATCGATTGTAATAAATTTATCGGAAGATCATTTATTTATACCAAATCTATGCAGGAAGCTAATTCGTCAACCGCCAGTGCCGAGTATGTCATGGGACCCATATTTCCATGGGTGGCTTACATTCATAACAGACTACATACTAGCAAAGTGTAAACGAAAAGCACTTCTGTAGCTCAATCTGAACAAACATCCCCAAATAAAAGCTAATAAGTCTGTTTACAAGCTTCTGGCCAGCAACCATCACCATATGCTATAAAAACCTGAGTAGTTGATCAATTTCATCAGAAACACTCAACATGCGATTCTCGTTCGTACTTGCCCTCGCCGTCCTCGTCTGCCTCCTGTTCGTCCAGGAGGGCAGTGGCACAACCTCGGCCTCGAGCTCAAGCACTACCACCACTACCACCACTGAGTCGTCCGATACCACCACCACCACCACCACCGCCTCCTCCGACACCACCACGACCACATCATCCTCCTCATCGTCTTCATCGTCGTCTTCCTCGAAGGCAGCCAAGAGGCGAAGGCGTGAACGGCGCCGCCGACTGGCCAGGGAGCGCCAGCGCCGGGAGCGCAGAAGGCAGCGCCAGACTGAGAGGCTGCGCAATCGCCTGCAGAGCCAGCGCAAGGAGATCAAGAAGCTGCGTGGATGAAGATAGCTTGGGAAGCCTTTCCTAGATGCCAAATAATGCAATTGAAAATAAGAAAAATGCTGACTACTTGGTTCGATTAAATATTTTGTTGATGGTCGCAAAGATCACTTTTTGAATACGTCCATGATTAGCCAAGCTTAAATAAAAAAATACAAGTATAAAGTTAGAAATTGACGTCTTGAACAATTTTACTGCAGCCATTTATTGCCAGAATCATATAAGGCATGTTTATTAACTGCCAGTTACGTCACTGTCCGTGAGGAGCATTAAACATATTAGAAAGGTCAGTGGGCGTGGCCTAATGATGAATCATTCGTGAGGTTTGCTAGCATCTCTAGAATATGTACGCACATTCCCAACATTCTTAGCATCCCGACTCTAGGTGACCAGATGCAGAAAGAAACTTGAGCTGCCTAGAAACTCCAAGACTCTACATCCTTAATCCCATCTGTTTATCTCTCATAGTACCTTAAATCTTATAGTTAATTCAGGCGGATGGACAGACGGACAACTGACGAACATGGCTTAATAGGCTCGGCTATTGATCCTGATCATATCAAATATATATTAAAATATATATCAAAAGACACTTCTTTCTAGTTACATACTCTTCAAGGAATACATTATACTCATTATACTACTACTCATTATACTAGAAAAGGGTAAGCATATGGCTTCTCCCTGTGTCATTTTTCCAAAATTGAATATTCCCTTTAACCAGTATTTTCTCAAGGTCAGAGCAGAGGTAAAAAGACAGAAGCGCATCTTGATTTGACTGAAGTCCCAGTGGTGTTATAAGACGGGTATCCTATCGGATAGTATGGAAGAGTAAATGGTCCGGCTTTAATCCTGGCAAAGCGGGCAGACAGATTGGAATTTTTACACATTCCAATACCTGTTGCCATATGGGAAAAATCTCCCATTCTGACAAAAGTCGACCTCCATTCAACCCATCCGACCTTAAAGGCCCAACAGTATTTGAGATCATGCTGCAGCCAGTGTCGAAAACGAGAAGCTGTGCAAACATTTCAGACTGTCGATCACTAACCAGATATTTATTGATTACATCGTAGTTCATTTCTGCCCCAGATTTGGTATATAAGCCAGCCCAAAGTTCCAGATCAGACACATCACAATGCGTTTCCTATTCGCTCTTGTCTTCGGCGTGCTATTGTGCCTCCACCTGGGCCAGGCCTCGAACTCGACTACAACCACCACCGACTCCTCTGCAACCACCACCACTGATTCGTCTGCCACTACCACCACTACCGCCTCCTCCACAACTACGACAACCTCCTCATCGTCGTCCTCTTCGTCGGCAGCGGCCAAGAGGCGCAGGAGGGAGCGCCGCCGTCGACTAGCCCGAGAGCGCCGTCGTCGCCAGGAGAGGAAGCAGCGCCAGGAGAAAAGGCAACGCAAGATGAAGAAGCTCCTGGCGAGGCAGCGCCGCCTAATTAACCAGCTCCGTGGGTAAATGGGAACTTTCGAAGTTGTTCTTGACAGTTAGCCGTTTATTACAAATAAAACAAGAGGAAACGCTATAGTCAAGTGCCGCGACTGTAAGATACCCGTTACTGATTTACACAATATTTAAATATTCATTTTGGTAGTGGTAATTCCCCAAGCGCCACCTATTGTTGGAGAAACCATGTTGATTAACTGACAGTGACGTCACTGCCCATGTGATGCCTTTAAACCTAAATTTCTTCATAAGTAGCGAAATAATGTTCCGTTTAGAAAAATCTTCGGTAGATCTATAGATATTAACAGAAATAAGTTATACAAGGTCAAACGAAGGCATTCATAATATGATTATAGACGTCACAGTTTTCCGCGTTTTGTGGGCGTTAGAGTGGGTGTGGCCTGATGAAAACTATTCCTAAGACCAACTTTCTAGCTCTTTTAGTTCCCCAGATTTTTGCATTTTTGATTTTCGGGTTTTGTTGGCGTTAGGGTAGGCATGGCTAGATGGAAAAAAAATTCGCATTTGGGGCATCATAAAAACCTACATGCTTAGTTCGAACGTTCTTTCACTTACCGAGTTACCGAGATACCAGGTTGTCTTGAAAATGCGAAAACCGTCTTTTAAGCTTGGTGGGCTTATGGGTGGGTGTGGGCCGATAATAGTACCACCAAAAGATGCGCTGGCATCCAAAGTTTATACCTTCTGAATTTTAACTTTCTAGCTCTAAATGTTCCCGAGATTTCAGCGATTTTAGTTTTTCGTGATTTGTGGGCGTTAGAGTGTGGCAGGATGCTGAAATAAACTTGCGCTGTCCCGGGACCTCAAGAATCTTCCTGGTTAATCTAAACTTTGTATCTGTTTTAGTTTCTGAGATCTCAGCGTTCATACGGACGGATGGACGGACAGACGGACACGGATCAATCGACTTCGCTATTGATCGTGATCAAGAATATATTTACTTTATAAGGTCGAAAATGCTTCCTTCTATCTGTTACATACTTTTCCACGAATCTAGTATACCCTTTTACTCTACGAGTATCGGGTATAAATACTGCTTTAGCATTATCAGATTATTGTTGCGATGTGTGGTCGAAAACTCTGGGAAGGGCATCGTTGGGATAATCTTTCTAAAGAGGAAATGTTTCCGAGCTTCAAGACGTTTTCATCGGCATGCCCCTCAACATCTACATATTCAATCAGTCAATCGGGGAATGTGCACGTTTCTGAGGCAGCAGACAATTGGCCCTATCCCAGGAGTTTATTATACCAGAGATTGAGCGCTTAAAAATGTTTTTCTTGTAGCCAAGCTCAGCAGTCAGCCAGCCCAGAATCAAATCAAATAAAATATTCATTTTGATCTTTGAACTGTGCATAAATGTGCTGCTGCCTGCCGAAGGGAAGGAGGGACCCGAGCCCCAAATACCAGATACTTAAACCCATTGGATGCGAATAGAGATTGTGATGTATGTGTGCTTATGTAATATATGCGGTTTGGCGAAGGCACGTCACCATATTCTTCGGGGTTTAATAAAGCCAACGATACTGTAAGGCCTTCATAATGTGGGTGTAGTGGGAGGACTCTTTTCTCGTTTGCATGGCTGCTGGCAAGCTGAATTGATTCTAGATTGGGGCTAAGAAGCAGTTAAGTTCAGTTAACAATGTTCTACTCCAAATTTGTTCCTTTCTACCCGTCTATGTAGCAGTTCTGTATTTACAAACCTTCAAGTCCGCCATCTCCAGCCTAAAGAAATTCCCTTAGAACTGGATTATCTGATTTGGTCGTTACAAAATTGAATTTCGGAAACTTCGCCCGCAGACTGGGCAGCAGTTGAGGAAAACGAAAAGAAATTAAATTCCGCCAGCCAAAGGTAAAATGCGTTTAGCATCGTTATTATATTTTCCGAGCCCCTGCCATCTGCCATCGATGTCAAATTCAAACCTCGAAAAAGAGGTTAATGTCTATGTTCCTTGACAGTATTTCTTTAGGTGCACAGTGGCGGAAATTAAGTATTTTCGTGGCAAAATCTAACTTTACCAGAAAAAAGTACACGCAGTATATCTGTTAGCAAATTGGTTAAGATAGTTTCTCTTCTTTCTATTCAAATTGATAAATACTTAAGTTATAAAAAGTTGGTGAATTGCTAAAGTGAGTTTGCTAAAATAAACAAATCGTTTCAAATACTAAGCTTGAAAGCCGATTTCGTTACTCATAAATGTTATTTTTATATTTTTTATTTGCTAGGCGCGACAGTGAGAGGCCTAACGCTAATTATTAGTCACCTGATCAGAGAGGTGGAGAGACTCGTAATTTAAGATAAACAGCAGGCACAAGGAGTAAATAAGCCTCAAAAGGAAATTTTGTAGACTGGTTTCAGGTGAGTGAGTATAATGATTTGAGCTCTCTATTGCGGGAAACAACGAAAACATAGTTTGGAAAGCTTCCCTGTGCCGCAACAGGGAATTTGCCTTGTAAGGGATTAGGTGCGCTGGAAATTTTAAGAAGTAAGCCCTGTAACAGGAGATTTATTGTCTCGAAAAGTAAAGCTCTGCAGCCAAAAGTCCCCCCACTTCCCCTGCCATAATCAAATAATTCAATAAACCGAGAGCAGAGGCAATAAGAGGAAAAAAGGGAAGTGGATGCCTAATAAGGTGGGGAATCTGTGATTTATACCCAGCTAGTGTGAAATGCTAAACCATTTTCTCAGCTGCTAGATATGTGAATGTCCTGTGTCCTTGTAGCAACAACTTAATGCGCAACAACAAGCAGCAGTGTTGTGACCAAAAGGAAACTCCTTTGACCAGCACCCAAGAGCAAAGCCATAAAAAAGAATATGTACATCCAGCTGGGAAAGAGACATGTTTTGTTTGGCTTTGTTTCCTTTTTTGTTTGTTAAACTAGAGACTCGAGGCTTCGAAATTGTTTAGCATGTCCTTTACTATTCAAACAATTTGCATATCCTTTTAGGGCAGCGAGTATACTTAAGACATCAACAACAACCATGGCAGAGGGCAAACAATCCTGGACTAGCAGGCATACCGACGCGACATCCAACCACAATCCAATGTCAGCTCAGGTATCCTGGTCGAAGAGTTGACAAGTATATAATACTCTATCATTTATATACTTTATATGTAATATGATATAATACTATAAAATAATGCTTTAGATTTTTATAACATGACAATGAAGGATATCAGTCAACGTTAATCTAATACAAGTATATCTTAATCTAAATCTTCAATAAAAGGAAATACTAGATAGACGATAATAACTAGTGCTGCAGCTGTGTTACCCAATGAAAGGATACTTTCAATCCGGAATAGAGCTTTATTTAACACTTTCGAGGCGAACGAGAATGCGTCGCTTTATTGTCAGAGGGCAGAATCGTGGGAATGGAAAGCTAAGGGGAGGGAGCAGACGAAACGTAGTCAAGTGAAAACTGACTACAGTCGAGTCCTTGGTGCCATTCCAGGTCCTCTGGCATCGACGCTCTCCCTGACCAGTTGCCAGCCATAATATTTATGCGCAGACGTTGCTCAATAAGCTGCTCAAGGATTTATTAGCCAAATGGGAAGATTTGACTGGCTGGCTGGAGTGCCATTCGGCTGCGCTGTTGGGTTCTGTGGCATATGTGCGTCTTGCATCATCACTGAGAGAAATATTCAGTACCCGTTCGCAGAATACCAAACTGAATGGGAATATTGTTGGACAGTGCGACAACTGGGATGCCGTATTAGACAAATTCTCATCGCTGGGCTGAGTCGCAGCCAACTTATTGATGAATGTTTTCAAAACGTTAGCATTGAATGGCAATTTTTCAAGATTTACTGAGCAGCAATCAGATCGGGGCCAACCCTTTGGGCCACTGGTCTGCTTTGGGCGAGGTAAGGTGGCCCAGCTGGGAGACTGGGACAATGAATTTTCTTAGACCGGGGTGCTTCCTGAGCAGCGAGGCGTTTGGTCGTTTTGTGTGCCCGCCTAATGGAGCTTAAATGGCCGCTGGCTTGACCCCTGAACTTTTTCTTGGCTGGGATAAAGTTTCCTGAGTTTAACAAAGTGAAAACAAATGCATTGTGCGCATTGGGTCCAGGGCCGGGATTCCTGGGCTTAGCACAATAAAATTTACCTTTTTACACCTCTTTTTCGGTGGCTTTTGGTCAGGTAATTGATAAAAGTTGTTTGGAGGAGATTTGTCCAGAGATTTGTATTTCCATTCCCGGCCTATTATCGTTGGTAAATGAAATTGAAATTTTATTGGAAATCATCGAGTCGGGGAGCGAGGCAGGGGCGCCGAGAACTTTTTAGCATTCCCCATTGTTGCTGTCGTTTTATTGCTTCCTCAATAACACCGACACTGCATCAATATGCCAATCGGCAAATGACCAAATAACCAAATCCAAAGCTTGGCAAACTCAAACTCGCATAAATCATACCAAGTGGCACCTTCAATAGGCTAAAAAATAGCCAAAAGCGTTTTTAAATTCGCAAACTGTCACTGGCGGATCACAATAAGCACGACACAAGTCACAAACATTTCATTGCGAGTATATTGAATAATAATTTGATGGTGAGGCCCTTTTGTTTCTCCCGAAATCCAACTGCCACGTCCTCCCACTTTAATTCAATTTGAAAATGTTGCAAAAACCCGAAAATGCCGAGTGTCAGAATTCGAGAGCAGCACGTCCAGATTCCGGCATTGATTAATATCAAAAATTTAATTCGTTTTGACATTGATGGATTCCCGGGGAATTTTGAGCCAATTTAGAAGAGATTTTCATCTCATATGAGATTGTTTCATTGATTAAATCGCAATTGTTTTTTAATTCATCTTTAATTTTAATTCGATCTGTTTGGTATCCGATTTTTATTTCATGTTTTACTTTAAATCCATCTGCTCAACGAGTTTCTCAATAAAGAACGTTAGCAATGCAAATTAAATACTTGAATTTTTAATGCTTTAAATATTCGATTTTGAATGCAAATTTGTGTTTATTGCCCAAAGTAGGACGTGAAAGTAATGGAAATGTTAAACATTTTTAGGGCGACTGGTAGCTGGGCAGCTATATCCCAATATAAATCTCCTACTGAACCTGAACCACTCCAAGATTTGCTCTTTCTGGGGCAAATTTATTTGCTTGCTTTCTGGGTAACACAAAGTGACACTGAATAACATTAAGTAAATACCATTGGGACACGCGACGGAACTGGGTGGCTCATCCCGGGGCAGAAACGAGCCCAGCGGTTCTTTAGGCGATCTTGGGTAGCATTGCGAAGATGCCGGGCCTGACGTTGTTCACGTCCTGGACGACGAACTCTCCTCCGAAGTGGTCGTTCATGATCAGCGTGCGCTTCTTGCTGGCGTCCAGGTGCATGGCCTGCCAGATGATTTCGAACTCCAGCTCGGGCAGCATGGCGGTGGTTGGGTCCTCGGGCCACCAGAACTTGTTGATGAAGTAGGAGCCCTGTAATGGACGTTTTAAATGAATGCGGTGCCAATGGTATCGGCCCTAGAACGGGACCGAAAGTGGACGGAGGGTCAGCTGGAGCCCCGTGAAGAGCACTCCACTCACCTTAGCGATGGGGCAGGTTTCGACGATGTTTCCGAACTCGCGGATGAATCCGTGGACGAAGCGACCCACTGGCGATTTGTTGGCGAAGCCCAGGATGCGGCACACGTTCAGGGTGGTATTCAGAGTGGTGGTGTAGAGCGGGTCCAGCTTGTTGGTGATGCGCACCTCCAGGTGAATGTCCACGTCGTGCAGCTCCTGGTGCACCTCCATGGAGAAGTTTAGATGCGGGTCGCTGCTGTCGTAGACCACCTTGTGGCTGACGAACTTCTCGTCGCTCCACATCTTGATGTCCTTGAACTTGGGCCGCATCATTTTCTGGAATCAATCAGAGGTGGGATTACTCTGGTGCCCCCATTTGCTCCTGGAGCTCTTACCTCGGCTAGGGCGCCATGGAAAATGGCAAGAAGGATGTGCACCAGCACCAGGGTGTATATCAACATTATGGAACGATTGCAGTAAACTGACTTCTCTGCCACTCTCGGCAGGCGGAGCCCTATTTATATGGAAATGTCAATTTTTGAGATTGATCTTATCGAAAATTGACTGAGCATTGAAACACCTGAATGCTTTTTCAAAGTCCATCCACTTAGTTGGCTTAATTCACCATGGCCACGTGTCCCATACACTGGGCATCTGGGCCTAATGTCCGGACCACTTTGCCGGCCACTGAGGCCTGACTAATCTTAATTGCTTTCATATAAATAGTGACTAATTGAATAAGGGCCAGTCCCAGTGGATAATTGGAGCAAGATGCGCGAGGTGTTCACCGGAAGCTTCTTTGCCGTTGGCCTGATTCTGGCGGTGTTCATGCCCATGACCGGAGCCTGGGTGAGTTGTGGCGGAACGGCTTGAGTCGAGCCATGGGTTGATTGACTTTTGTCGCCAGCGCTCCTTCAAGGTCATCCTAACGAACGTTGACTTCGAGGCGAACGATAAGATCGTGGACCTCAGGGTGGATCTGCAGAACGAGTCGGGAGACTCCAAGCTGAGCATGGAAATTAAGACTTTCGAGGAAATAGAGGATGTACAGCTGTCGGTAGACGTTGGCCTGGAGACGGACAAGGGGAACTATTCCACCCTGATCAACCGCACCCTCAACTTCTGCAAGCTGATGAAGCAGCGCAACTCGGACCCGCTATTGCGTGGCATCTACGACGACCTGCTTAGGCACGGCAACCTCTTCAAGGACTGCCCTATACGGCCTGGAACCTACAGCCTAACCAACTACAAGGTGGACGAGGAGATGCTCCCTAGCTTTCTGCCTGAGACCAAATTCCGGTTCAGCATGGTGATTTCGAAGCCCAAGGTCGGATTGATCGTACGGTCCAACATCTACGGGCGCATCGACAAGTCCAAGGGATTCGACAACCTCAAGAGGTTCAGTCTCGGTTGAGATATGTCTAAGTTTCTCCCGGGATCTTCTGTACTCCCAGGAGACCCAATAAAGCTGCGATTCGCGCCCAAGTCCCCCCTGTTTTAGTATTCAAGCTGCCTTTTGTCGCACGATTGACGTCGTCATTGTCGCCTCATCTTGTCCTCCGCCCCCTGGCAATCCTCCTTCTCCTCCTCCTCCGCCGCCTCGTCACGTGTTTGCCTGCTCAACTGCGAAATTCGCATGTTTACCCGACGGTGACAAGCTGTCTGCAAGCAGCCACCGGCAGCGCAATTGATGACGACGATAATGGCGTCGGAGGGGCTGCCTGATGAGCAACAGACGACAATGATTTAGAGTGTGTGTGGAGCGGTGCCTCTGCAAATGCATATTCCGGTGGGCTGATTGGACTGATATCAGTCGGGTGATGATGGTAAGTACTCATACACACAAGGAAAATGCAAGGATTGCATCTTTCATTTGGAAAACGAGAGGAATAGGTTTCTCCCTGGCACTTGCGATCAAAAACTTGAAAATTAAATTCTATTATTGAGCAAAATAGAAGAACCTTCTTTAAATATATCAAGAATCGGGTTTTAAGAAACTAATTTATGAATATATTTCATATGATTATGGTTAACCCATTGAAATATTTGATCTATATTTAGAATTATTATTACCACAATGGATAGGTTGGAAGTATATTATTTTGATATATATAAAAGAACACGATATAAACCTCACGGAGACATCCAATTGATCAAGATGTCTTTACCCATTAAAGAAAGATAAGTACCAGCGGGAAAAGTGACTTCTTCCGGTACTTAGATAACTTTTTCTTCAGTGAACAACCGCATGACTGGTCCATGTTTAACTATCCAATATTACCCATCCAGGCCACGTAATACGCCATACAACTGAAGGAGCGGGAACTTTCCCACAAGTTTGGGACGATAAAAACTTGCGAATATTTAAAATTTTTCGCTGAGCACAGACCTAGAAAGGGGATCTCTGGGCTGCTCCCATTCTCCTGCCAGCGAATTTGCAATTAAGGATGCACTGCACATTGCCGTAGCTGAGAGTCGTTGACAGCAGCTGAAGTCGTAATGAAGGCCCATGAGTCACTTGATGAGAACGAAAAAAGCAAACAGTTCTACCCACACCATATATCTAAACGGAGTTCGCAACGAGGGCGATAAATCTTCCGTAGAAAAGTGCAATAACTTAGAGGAGAGCGGTTCCTTTGAGCTTCCCGTTCAGTACATAATTTCGGGGCGCGAACTTAATTGCGCGAACAGTACACGTCAGAGCGTTACTTTGAGTAATGGATTCGGCGGCAGAAGCTGAAGCGGTCGGCATTAGGTCTAGAAAATTCCCAGGTTTATATGTGAGTTTCATTGAGCGGCAGTTTGGTTCAGTTTAGGGCCAATAAAAGCGAGTCGAGTTCCCAAATCCCTTTCCCACTTTCCACCTGTCGCAGTTGTCCTTCCACCCCAAATAAAATTTATGCAATTTTCGTTTCGTTTCGGTTGAATTGTCCAAATTAAATTTGTTATATAAAAATGTTAATTTCTGGCCGACCTGGCCTCTTGCCTCGCTTATTTTCTGCATTTGCTGTGGCTGGCGTTGTATACGCATTTCAATTATCGACATTTGAGTGACTTTTATTGAATTTATTTGGTTCGCTTCACCTTCGGCGTTTGTCCGGCGAGTGAATTGAAAGCCGTTTCGCGCTTTTTCAGCTTTAAGGTTATCAATTATTATTGTCACATTGCCGCAGATTGATTTGGGTTTTCGGACTGGAGCTTGTGGTTAACCCAAATCGTGAATTCCCATCAGGTGCCCAAATAAAACGCGATTCTATTGCCATTGCCGGTTGAAATCCGTTTCCAAATTGCATTTAAATAGAGTTCTTGTGGAATAACCGGCGCATACATTATGCCAGAAAATAAATTGAGCTGGGCTAACCCGGGCCCTTGTATCCGCCGGAGAAGAGACGCGAAATGGGGTTAGATATGCTAATTGATCGAAAGGAGGCGGGAATATTGATGAGCCGCACGTGAGTAGCGAAAGAGTCTTAGCCACAATTATAGATCCGGCATTATTATGAAAGACAGTATCCAGTTATGATTTGGTAAGTTCGTCGACCCGCTCATAGCCTCCTCCCTTGATTATATCATATGTCTTTCCTGCAGCGACGCCGCCTACATTTTAATGGGATCTCCGCTAGACCTTAACCCCGAAATCGAGTGAGCCCGAATGCCCAGTTCTTTGGGTTAGCAAAGTCTGGTTTGGCAGCGATCTGCAATCGAAATCACAGCGGTTGGCCCGAACTCAACTGGAATGCAAATGAAGCCCTCGGGTGGCAAGCACTCAGTCAGTAAAAAGAAAGGCGAAAGGGCGTTAAACTATATTCGAAGTCTATCCGGCTCTAAGAGCCGTACATTCGAAGACCTAATGCGTGAAAATTGTGACCGCCCTGGGTTCAATGGCCTGGCGAAAGTTTCTCCTCCCCAAAAGAGCTTAAGTGAATTGAAATTTAAAGTTTTTACAAATGCCGCGGGCAGGGGGAGGCGTTCTAGAGATTGTTCAACTATGAAAATCCACTTATAAAAATTATGTTAATTGCATCGAGTGGGAGGCAAGGCGGGAAAAAGGATTCTTATTAAATCAGGACGAGCCGAAGGACTCGAGCTGGAAATAAAGGATGAGCCATAAGTAGCATAACTGACAGACAATCGGCAAACAAACAGATTGCCAAAAATAACAGGGGACGATAGTGGGCAACAGTTTCCCAAGTGAATCTTAAGAAATCCCCATCTTCGTTTGCCATTCTTTCGTGGCAGAGGGTGGAGATTGAGGCAGTGAAACCCCTTCGACTCAGCTCAATATTTGCACTCCGAGGCATTTGCCAGCTGAGAGTTAATTTCACAGTCTTGCCAGCTCTTCCCTGTACATCATTGGCTCGACTTCACTCGGGCTCAGACATCATGAAGGGCTAGGCAAACAAAGGCTGGGCAAATTTCGTAATCAGTTTTGGCCAAAGTTCTTAATGCATTTAAAATAAAGTGATATCTCTTGCCTTCTATTAAATGGAGCCAAGAGTCCCAGTGCTGACTCCTGCCGCGGTCCACACTTAAAATGCGTATAAAAAAATGCCCTGGATCGAAGGAATTTATTTGGTCTTGCACGCAAATTTTATGCTCCTTAGAGCCGTCGGCGATGGCGACGACCAACTTATTGCAATGGCTACAAATTTTTACATAAATTTACGCTATGACAACGTCTCCTTCTCCCAGCTCTCCTGTTGTGCTGGTCCTGCCACGTCTTAGTTCGCATTCTCGTACATCTTCGCATTATGCAAGGGCCTTTAGCAGTTTCCCTATTTTATGAGTTTTTTTAGCTTTCTGTTTGAGTTGTTTGAGTAACTTTTTTCAGGTGGAAATCCACTTTCAATTGTTTGGGGATCTGCCTTTGGCATCCTGGAGGTTTACATATTGCTCATTTCAGCATTTCGCCGGAGAGCTTTGGGCGTGGTGGGTGGACTGGGCTTGCCTCTTCTTATTGCCGCTGCCTGTTGAAGTGTAAACATTTTCGCAGAAGGTGTAAATAAAATCTGGTAAGGCGATGCGACTGCCTAGGGCGTCTCCTGGCATTTGAGCACCCTGGCATCCTTGGCGGAAGTCTGCTAAGCTGCTGCCGCTCCTTGATTGCTTGTTCCGTTCGCGATTGGTAGGTCTGTGTGTCAACAAATTTTCGCAAATAAGCTAAACATTCGGAATATTGATGGCAGTTTGTGAGGGGCGGTCTCCCATCCGCCTCTACCCTCTATTCCACTCATTCACTTAAGTCCACTGCGATCCAAATGACAATGACCAGCAATTGGCGTAATGACCTGGCCATCGATTTGGCCGGAAAGGTTGTTTATTTTTACGAGATTAGCATTAACGCAGCGGAGCTTGTTAAAGGGGGTCGAAAATTGTCAGCGGACACCAAACCGGTGCGTTATATTTTCCACTTACGTGTGTATGCAAAATTAATGCCAACAACTCAATAACTTTCAATAAATGAACAGCTCGTCTGCACAGTGGTTTGACTTTGTTTTTTATAACGAGCTAGTTTTATTTCTAGCTAGTCATGGGGATTAATACTATCTGTTAAGTCACTATACTAAGTTAAATATCTACTATTGTAATAATAGTACTTAATCTTTTGTTTAGTTCTGGCACTGTCACCTAGAAATAATCCAGAATTAACTTAATTCCCTATGTCATATGCTATGAAATCGTAAGGGAATCCTTATCCTGGTACTCCCATTGCCTTCCCCAAGCCAGATTACCACCCCCCATTACACCTCGCCAGCTGCAGGGGCGCAGAGTAAGCAGAGGTCTCCTGTGTGGTGTCTATTTAATTACAATTGTCGCTGTCGCCGCAATCCGTGTCCTGTGCAACGGCAACTGCAATTAACGCACTCGGCCTTTGGGAGCTGCATGCTCGATGCAGGCCGCAGGATGCAGGATGTTGCTGGCTGGGAGCGCAGTATCAGAGTTGACTGTGTCTGGGTCCTTCCACGGCTTTATCTGCGTCAAGGGAGGGTAGAGTTGTGGGGCTGGGCGATTATTTTACGCTCAATTATTGTTAAATATTTCACAAAATGCGAATATTTATTTTAACACGGCAAATTGGCCCGGTTCGAGCTGGTGTCATGTCCGTGTTTCGGTTTGCCGGCCGAGTGTCCTAATGAGATTGCAATTATTTGGCCATAAATTCGTATTATTTGGGCTTTAAAGTTCATGCACTCCTGTGCTGCTGTGTGGCACATTTTTAGGTCGATGTTGTTCGGCATGTTGCTGCACTGCCGGAGAATTAACCCTTGTCAAATGACACCACTTAATTTGAAATTATGTATTAATTAATTGGCCCATAGCAGTGGACATTATAATTAAATGTTTAATTTATGGCTTCTAATAGGGCCGTTAGTCAAGGGTGGAGCTGTACAATAGGAAGGTTCGTTAAGAGGGTATATCCCCGGATGTGTTTTCTATACTCTTGCAGAGTTTAATATATTTGATCACTACCGTTTGGAGGGTGAGTATTAGCAATTCCTTCCTTATTAGCTTACAAAACTGTATCTGTAAAAACTTGAATTCTCGCTATTTAAGTCGTTTATATGATTTTGAAAATCATCATCGAACAATTTGCGCACTTTAATAATTTTACTATACATTTTATTCCTTTCAAATTTTGATTAAACAAAGCTCCAACGAAAACGCTAACCAGGCAATGTTTGAGAAATATTTTACGATTTTTCAGATGTCATATTTATATATTATGAATGTACTATAATTGATTTTTTATGTAACCATATAGATTAGCTATTGTATAAATTAATACATTAATATCATATTTGGGAATATGAATGTGTTGCATGTAGAACGACAACACTTAGAATTTTACACAGATTTGGTAATACTCGTCCCAATTGGGAAATCAACATAGTTTGTAAAATGTTTAATACATTTTATTAGTTTGTTTAATGATAAAAATCCTTTAATACACATTTTAAAAAAGTTTAAAGTCTCGTGGCATACTTTTAGGCTGAACAAAACAAAAGCCAACTCAAAACACGGATTGTTGGGTTCAGCGGCGGGAAAAGGGGTTAGAAGCCGATGCTCAGGCACAGCAAATATTGGGCAACATTGGCTGGGAATATTGAAATACTTTCGGCGACGGCGACTGTTTCCGCACTTTGAGCCCGGACACCCAACTCCAGCATAGTTTTTCCTTCCGTGTTTGTCTTCTGGCTCTATCTGCTCCCCTCCTGTCGTCAACTGGTGGTCCTTTCGGGGATGCGCTAGGCCCTCCATCAACCACCCTTTTGCGGGCTGGAATCGTGCTGTTGTTTGTTTACCTTGTGTGCAAGCTGCATTTTGAGGCCGCCTTCGGTCCAGGAGTCGGCGAATTTATTGCAATCACGCACAGGATTTGTCGCTTTGGTTTTGTCCCGTCTCTACGAGAAATGGTGAAAAAATGAAAAGCCTAAGGTCAGGGAGAAAGGAGGGAAGAGGCAACCAAAAAAAACCGCAGAATTTTGCAACTAAATGCCGAAAACGCAATGCGCATTAAATTTAAACTAATTGTTTGGCATTTGTAATGGCCGCCGCTGCGCCAAACGTTTTAATTGCGGCTGCAACATCAGCAGTTGCAGCAAATTATTGGCAGGCTGCAAACGCAATGGCCGAGAAGGAAAAGCGCGAATAAAAAATGTAAATTAATTTGGGGTCTGAGAGACTGTTTTTGCGGCAATTAATTTGAACACGCGGCTCCGCCTTTGTTTCTGGTTCAGGCCCTGGTTCCGGTTTTGACTTTGCCATATGTGCGGTTACCCTCACGGGGAGTCCCCACCTCCTGTTCATGCACCCCTGTGGGTTAACTGCTTTATTTGCCGAATGCAGTTGTATAACCAGCACTTTTTATCGGACAGTCTGCGCAGTGACGTCTATCCTGATATATTTACCACGACCAGGCCGAACAATGTCTGATTAAGGTGGCGCCATTAGTTCTTTCACTTTTCTCTGCTAGACCACTTTCCTAGGACAAAGGCAACAGTTGACCGACACTAATGCCTTCGAGAGGAGGCAAAAACCATGTGTGCTGCACCATATAAAAAGCCGCATGAAGTTTTCCCACAGACTTTATTGGCTGGACTACAGCATTACCTTGCCCGGATCCCCATTCCCACATTCTACAGACAATGTCTCATTTCGGCTTCGGCTTGGCCTTCCCATAAAGCTGTTCTGGCGTCGGGATGTCACTGACAAAGAAGTTTGCCGGAATGAAGTGGAATATCTTCTTCAGCACGTCCAGAAGAATATCCTCAATGGTCTGGGTGATGACCGTGTACAGGGCATCGGCCAGCATACGCCAGTTGTCGTTGAAGAACTTGTTGGTGCTGTCCTCTGCGGTCAAAGACATTTAAAGGGGTTAAAGGCCATTCTTGGTCCTTGCATTTTTGGAATTGCAGCCACTTACCCAATTGCTTGTTGCCATTAAACAGGTTGGAGAAATATGACTTGAGGCCATCCATCTTGAAGTCCACATGGAGGCTGGTCACGTTGTAGAAGGTGAATCCTCCCTTGGAGTAGAGTCGCGTGTTCGTGTGCATGGTGACCGTCATGTTCTCAGCGTCTAGGAACACCTGCCCCTTTCCATTCAACGGGATGAGCAGGATTCGACCAAACAGGCTGTAGTTCGCCTGAAGCTTCATCTTTGGCAGCGTGAACGTGGTCTTCCAGCTGTAGTCCTTCTTGAAGACCCTGGAAAAGTGGTGGTGGATCACAGCAGTTCCAATGCGTAAAATATATCTTCCACTCACTGGCTCTCCAGCACGTTGGTGTGCCCGAATCCAATGATCTTGACGTTGGCCAGCTCCACCTTGAGGTTGATCGCGTTGCTGTTGCCCTGCGTTATCCGGATACGGTTCAGGTAAAAGGGGTCGAAGCTCTTGATGCTGGTGAGCCCGGGAATGCCTGGGAATCGGTAGCAGACTGTGAACAGAGAACCTCCCACCGCAGGACTCTACCCACCGTCGTTGAGCTTGTCGAACAGCTGCTGAATGCTGTGGGTCGAGCAGTTGACAAAGTCCTTGTCGGCTATCCTACACTCTTTAATGTAATCTGCTGCGGTTCGATTAGAATTGATTTCAGTTCAGTTCATTTCGTTCGGTTTCGATCCATATTGGATTCGGATTGGGTGCGAGAGATCGAGTGCGAGTAAGGCAAACAAAACACACACAGAGAATTCAGAGAAACAAATCCGGTTTAGTGGTGCAACATTTTTGGCGCAATTTGAACAGCGAGTTTCAGCTGCTGGGCGGGTTAGTCACGTGTGTGTGTTAGCCAAGACCAAGGAGTATTAAAGCATTTAAGGACATGTGTTACAAGGACAGGCGACACTTATTGACTATAATTAGTGTAAACCATCCTCCGATCTCGATGTTTTAATCCCAGGGTTGACCCACTTACGCGGCTCTTTCAGAAATCCGTCGTCTCCTCGAACTCCGCAGGTGGCCAATGCCACCATCAGCGCAATCCGCTCCAAGAGTGCCATCTTCGTATTTGGGGTCAATATTTGAAGAACTGACAGCACTGATCAATGCCGACCAACGTCAACGAGCAGCAAATGAAAACTGAATGAAACCACTTGCGATTTTCATATTTTCTGCGCGGCATTCGTTTGGCGGAAAAACTTGATTTAAGCTGCTTGTGAAATTTCGCAATCCCATCGTCGTCGTTATCGCGCACCGCTGGTTAGTTGGCCAATTGTGGGGCAGCCAGCAGAGAACAGTAGTCCGCCAGCTGAGCTCTTGCAGTCGGATTGCTGCAGCCGCAGATCCATTTCGTCATCGATCTCTAGCATCGGATCGGATCGGATGGCTGCGGGGAAAAGGCGGGGAAAAGTCTTCAATGAAACAAATCACGCAAGTGCCGAGCTGTGCCGATGTTGACACTTGACTGCTGGAATGACTGCCGAATGGGTTGCAAGTGGCCAGTTGCAACACAGCGAGCACAAACAGTTCTATTGACGGTTTCGAATCAACCTTAAGCTTTGCACTCCTCAGGTAAAAACTACCAGAAAGACTGAGAGCTGGCCAGCAAGTTCAAGCGAATTACTGTCCATCAACTGAGGTCTTAGGTCCAAGGCAACCAGGACTGCCTCGGACGTGGCCAGACCAAGTTCCATATATCAGGATAGTTGTCAAAGCAGACCCGTCTATTCCACTTGAAAGCCTTTCAAAAAGGATGCGAAGAAAAGCTCCTTGAAAAAGTCAGCACTTTTTCGTTGCTCCGAATCGGCAAAGCAGTCACCCGAGTTGTAAGGAGTAGGAAATATTATTTATTGAAGTCGTTTAGAAACTATTTTTCGGGGAGAAAGGTAAAAACTGAATTGCAATGAAAGTTTAATACTTAAGTTTAAACCCATATAAGATCTCCTCAAGAAACTAAAACATTCCATTGGCTTTTGGTACTTCCAAAAGGGACTAGGAATGGGTATCCCATTTGGCTTATCCCAGAATAATCATCAGTGAGGAAAAAGGCCCTGACAGTATAATTAAGTCCTAAAACAATGAAGCAAAAATCTCGGGTGGTAATCAGAGCAGCTTCCCAAAAAGTTTGTAAGGGGTTGCCTTTTTGGGTGTCCTTTAAAACTCATAACGTGTCCGGGCGTCTGGCTTTAATTCCAATTCGAAGTCAGGCTTCCCATGCAGCAAAATCCGAAAAATTTCTGGCAAGTTAATTTGCATGAAGTGGAGTGGCAAACAGGAAAAGGGCAGCGAGACAAATAAAGGCGCAACCGGTGAGAGAGTTCCCCGGTGGGGAAGAGCAAATATTAATCCGCAAAAAGGAATTGTCACAAATTGTGTGTCCAGGGCCTTCGTTTTTCCCAGCAGCGTAGTCCTTGTCCCTTTCGCAGGGGGTCCCATTACCGCCGGGCTCTTCGACCCCTTTTCGGCCAGGCTGCTGTTCCTGGAGCTTCTCCGTCGCTCCGTTTTTTCGCTGTTGGGGCAAACAACAGCTGCAGCCGGACCAAAAAGGACAAAAGGACTTCGGAGTTGGAGTGGAGGGTAATGAAAGGGAGTGGGTTGGGTCTCGCTGATTGTTTCAAATCGCAAGTTTGGCTTACCTTTTGGGGAATTAATTTGCCAAATAAACGCTGACAAAATGCAGGCAACTGGGCAAGGACAAAGCCAGAAGGGCTGGCCGTTGCCAGAGATCCAACTAATAGGATTTTGATGATAGTTGCTCGGCTGTGCTTCCTTTTTGCCCTAGCACACTTCTCCTTCTGGTGTTGTAGTGCGGCTGCCATAATCAATTTTTGGCCAGTTTCTGATGGCCTCTACCCTCCCTGCCCTCTGCCCCTCGAATCGCTGAGATGATTGTAGCCCGTGACCCATGAAATGAGTTTTGCCATGTGTGAGAGCAGGACGAGGGCCGGGTGCGCCACGAAGTGGGTAGAGAAACGCCCAACTGAGCCGCAAAACCAAAAGCTGCGGCACATTTTGTATTCATGACTTTCTCTCTTTTCTCACCCTCCCCACAACCCACAAACCTAAATGCCAGGGTTACGGACAACACATTTCGTGTCCTTTCTGGTACATGTTACTTGTCTCCTTGGAAACATCATGTCTTGCGATTTAAACAAATTCCAAATTCCAATTTCAAATCGGTTTTCAGGGATAAAAATCACATAGTCTGTCTAGTAGGCTAAGCTTGTGACAGAAAAAAAGCTGAAAAATGCAGTACTACACTCTTTTATACTCTAAAACTATTTCAAAGATTTAAAACGGAATGAAGTCTCTTGGAAAACTGTTATGCTGCAGCCCTGACAATAATAAATCTCCCCGAACGCTTTCCCCTGTTTTTCCCTTAGCCCTTTTTATGTGTCCGAGATTGTGGTGCATTATAATTAATTTTGGTGGCCCAAATATGTAAATTTTTGATTACGAGAGCAGTAAACAGAAATGGAAAATAATATGCATAAATGTTACGCATACGCACTGTCGACGCATGCAGGTTTTCAAAAAAACGCTTTCTGTCCCTCTAAGCGGCTTAAATTGACAGGTTTCCACAAAGGGGATACTGGAAGGAGGGGTGAAAGGTGAGGAGGTCCTTCCTGCTCATCGAGAGCATGTGTGACCATTTCGGACGCCGTCCAGCGAGTTTATCAACGGAACTGCAACTTTGACTCGTTATGACCGGGGAAAACTTTCTGTTCTGCCGTTGTCCTTCGTTAGGATTTTTTATTCGCGACTTTTCGACTGCAACTTTCAATGAAATTCCATAATAGTTTCTGTGAGCGCTGGCAACTTTGCATAGATTAGCTGCAAACAGAATATAAAAAGCAGGAAGAGCGTTGAAAGGAAAAAGTTGCCTGCGGCATAGCGCCATGCTTGACTTTTGGTGAATTATTTAATTAGCGAGCAGCGGGGACAACTTTTTCCAAGTGCTTAATTAATCACTGTGGTTTTTGCCTTTTACTACGAATCTGCTATTTTTCACAGTATTTTTTTTACTTTTCACTAGTAACTCTCATATGAAGAAACGAGCAGTTCAATTTCCCAGTAAGTCTGTAAAGTTTTCATTTAAGCAAACCGCGTCGTATACTTAAACTGTTTATAAACAAAATGCCAGCCTATATGACTTTGGCTCCAAACAGAAGCTCGACAAGAAAGCCAAGTAAATTTGCCCAGGCCAAACAGAAGAGCTCGACTAAGTCTACGCCCAAAGAAAACCTATTAGTTGTCTGCTATATGAAACTGTCGGGCCGAACCTGGCAACTAAAACTATGCACATGACGGACTGGGCCAGGACAGCCTGAGCCGAAAGCCAGGAAAAGTTTAGAATAAACACCAGGAGAAACGTCAACATATCCATGTCTATATTCACATAAGTAGACAAATGTGTGTTTGTTCTATGGGCCGAGTTTGTGGCAAAGTCATCACCGCCATCTTAGGGCATCATCATCTTCGGGAAACCCTGGCAAATAATTTGAAAAATCAACATCTGACATTCAGACGCCGCATGGCGACAATTTGGACCAAAAGAAGACTTGCCTCGAAGTTTGCTTTGCATTTACGCCACCCACATGCCACATTCCACTTCCCCAGTTCCCAACCCAATTGCTGCACTGATGGGTTGGCCTTGAAAAGTCAGATTTGGAAAACATACTTTTGCCATTTTCGAAAATCGCACTTTGGTTCCTTGTTGGCTCCGTCCTTGTTTGCGAATCCTGCTGTTGTTGCTACTTGAGCACAGAAGTAGATGAAAGGCTTTTGGGTTCTGGGTTCGGAGTTCTGGGCTCTGCCACGGCGCAGACCTGAACGCGAATCGGGGTTGTTGTTTACTGTTTATTTTAGCGGCGTGTGCGGTATCTTTTTTGCTGCCATCCGACTCCGAACCCGTGTAGCTCCCAGAGCTCGAGTGTGTTTGCCAATTGAAATGCTAGACAAAGTATCTATGTGGGGCTGGGCGTGGGCTGATGATGATGTCGATGAATGCCACAGATAGATAGATGGATATGGATGGGACAGCTCGGCGGCGAGAAAGGCGACCACTGTTTCAAGAGTTGAAACAACAATTGTTTTAAAGTCGTCATTGGGCATTATTAAAAAGTATGTAATGCCTGAAAGTATGCAACATAGTTACATTTCAAGCACAGAATGGCTTTTCTGGCTTCTTCTCTTAAAGTTGTATTTATTTTCATTCTGTTCAGACTTTCTGTCTTTAAAACTTGAATTCTTCTAACACTTTTAAGAAAAATGTGTCTGGTACCAGTTAGATTCAACCACTTGAGAACAATGAAGGGGCGGACTATTTTATCAAGATCAGAAACATATTTCTACTATTAAAAGTGAGGGACCTACAAGGTAACATAAGAAATGTGTAAGCTAAACTTTAGTTCTAGAAAACTTCGACTTTAAATCTTGTTAAGCTATTAAGACAGAACTATAACCGTTTGTTAACTAACAAATAAAAAAAAACATATTCTTGCAAAAAAAGAAACCTAGTTCTGCAGCTTTCAGTTTTCAGATTTCTAGTAAAACATTTTACTATAACGCATTTTATTATTTGAATTGAATTTGGTTTTCTAATGGACTAAACTCGAACAACAAGTTGACAAAGAAACAAATAATGCTGTGAAAAAAACACAGTAATCTTTAGTTTCCAGTTGATTAAACAAAAGGAGACGAAACTAACGCTTTGACGTCACTTTATTTGAGATATCCCAATAAATAAATGTCAAAAAGTTCCGTTCTGCTAGTTCAAATAATTCCCACGACGACAACATAAAATTTGCTTATGGTTTGGCAACGAAAATTTTATGCTGAGCGCGTGAAAATTAATTAAAATATTCCCTTGTAACTGCCAAGCGCCGTCGGAGCATAACTGAATTTTAATTGAACGCAATCAATGCGAATTTATGAAAGCCCTGGTCCACCCACTAGGCCAACCATTGGCCCAACCACTCGTCCTCCCGCAATACCACCTGCAGGCATCCGGACTCCGATTCAAGCCGCTCCAAAGGCTCCTGGCAATTGGCGTTAATTT